ATGTGAGATGGGGAGAAGAGAAGAGAGTTCTCAACAAACGGTTTCAATTTATTAAGTATGAATTGAAGTCCTCATCAAAGAGAGTTCGAGGAAGGAAGCTTGAGGAGAGAAGAAAAGGATTGGAACAGTTGCTGTGATAAGTGATAAAGGTAATCAACTGGGAGGAAATAGTAGAATTGCCTTGCTGTAGTGAGGGCCCAATTTAGATAAGTTAGCATAAAATTATAGTTGACCCAATCAATGTGGTTTCAGGATCTCCTCTAGTTCCATTCAGGAGCACATAAGTAGAAGCAAAGGAATAATCTCTGGTTGTGGGTTGGTGTGATTGGCAGTGGCACAAGAGAGCAAGGGATTCAATAATAGATGATATTTACAGCTGAATTGGTTCACCAAGAGGTCAGTGTTGGGAAGGGAGAAGAGTATAGTCAGAGAAGGCTAGGTGATGGTCTGTGATACTACTGAGGGATGGATTGATTGGAGGTCATGGTAAGAACAAAGAGTTATTCTAGGAGTGAGGCATAGTGAGAGATAAAAATATAAAATATTACAATTGAAGGAAATTAAAAGTCCTTAATGTGGAAGGTGAATATGCATGGGTGACAATAAGATAGAGAATATGATAATCCCTGGGTATAGTTAAAGTGGAGTAGATTAGAACATAGGAGATGAGCAGACTGAGAAACTGGGAAGTTAGTATATTCGAGGGAACATCAAAATCTATATTGAAGTTGCCTGGAATGAGAGGAGTTGAGGTAAACCAGTGTCTGAATTCAATGAGAAAGAAGAGAGAATGTGCTTGAGGTCAATAGGTAACAGTTACTAGAATTGAGACTAGGTGATAAATATGAATTGAACCAACCTCAAAGTAAAGTTGCTAAGTGATGGTGGTCAAGGAAGAGTCTTGAAGAGGCACCAGGGAGCAAGAAGTATTCTTATTCCCCAACCATGATCAGAGAGTCAGGAGTATAAGTGGAAATGCCGCCACATCTTCCAAAGGAGTAGGCAAATCTGGATAGTGACACTGGGTGGGTCCAGGGGGCAGAGGTAGGTAAAAGGTTGAGGGGGATAGGAATGAGTGAGTGGACATCTGAGGTTGGAGAGAGGATTTTTTTTTTTTAGCAGCTGAGGATTTGCTTTCAAAGGGACAGAGAGAGTAGGAGGCTGTATGCTAACCACTGGAGATCCAGGAAGACTAAGCATCATCTGATAATGAAGGCAGATCATTTGACTCTTCAAGGTCCAGGATTTGTTTTGGTACAACCTACACAGCTGCCTCACCTGCCATGATGCTGTAATTTGTGGTGTTGAGCAATATTGTTGTCCTAACCTTATTTGACTAGGACATGCATGTAAATAAGTATAGAATATACAAAATAAATGCAACGCTTTTGTCAGGGTGGGGAGGCAACACAGTTGGGAAATGAAGAAAGGGCCTGTGTAGAAGATACTATTTGAACTGAATTTTAAACTAAACAAGAAATTCTAAGAGGTGATGGTGAGGAAAGAGTATATTATACGCATGAGAGATAGTCAGGCACAGGAGACAGAGATTGAGTGTTATGTATGGAGCCCTATTTGGCCAGACCCTTGGGTGCAGGAAGGAAGTAAAATGTAAGAAGCCTAGAAAGGCAGGTTGGCACCAGATTGTGAAGGGCTTTAAATGCCAAAAAGGAGTTTAGAATTGATCCAGACAATAGAAATTCACTGGAATTGGTCAAGCAGGGGAGTGACAGAGTTCTACCTGCACTCTAGGAAAATCAGTTTAGCAGTTGTATGAAGGACAGATTAATGTGGAGAAAGACCTTGAGCAAAAGAGATGATTAGGAGGCTATTACCATAGTCTGGGTTAAAGGTTAAGAGGCCCTGAACTCCAAGACCAACTATGAAGTCCTTTCGGCATTTTTTGGCATTGAGTCGTTTCAATCACATCTGACTCTTTGTGACATCATTTGGGGTTTTCTTGGCAACAATACCAGAGTGGTTTGCCATTGCCTTCTCCAGCTCATTTTACAGATGAGGAAACTAAGGCAAATAGGATTAAGTGACTCTTTTGGGGGGGCCTAGGCAATGGGGTTAAACGACTTGCCCAGGTCACACAGCTAGTGTCAAGTGTTTAAGGCCAGATTTGAACTCAGGTCCTCCTGACTCAACTGATTTAGAGGACATAACTTTTTAGTGGGCACCATAGTGAGCACCAAGGGGAAGGCCATATTTTCTGGACTCCCATTTTGTCTGCATATACTGTTATGCTGGTATATCCTTGTCCCCAGGTGCTATACAACCTTCTAAAGTTGGATAGCAACACTCAGAAAAAGTTACACAGCAGAATCTTATCTACTGTAGAAGCAACATTCCTCAGTTCTACCTCAAGTACCTTGCTTTTATGGTTCCAGTAAAACTGTGCATGTATCAAATCCAGTTCTAATCAAAAAATATTGCACCATGAACTAGAAAGTGGTTTTGGGGAAATGGTAATTGAGAAAGAAAAGGTAGAAAACTTCAAAAATGTCACTAAAGAGAGATATCCCACTTTCCTTCATTACAGTGAGTGCATGATTGGATGTCCATACAAGGACCCTGAAAAGCTGTTCTTAACTTTATACCCAGCCCTGTGATTTGTGCTGTGGGAGATACAGCAGGCATGGGCCCTGCCTGGGAATTTTTCACCTAAGGTAAATTCTTGTTCATAGAACTGGACTGTGAGAATCACATGATCGTTATCAAGATATCTTGACATGTTTGGACCAAACTGCAACCTATCCATACAAATTTTGTCTCATTTTCTAAGCCATGAAGAAATTTAAAGGTGTTCAAAAGAATAAAGCAATTTTCCTTACATTATCCACAAATTAGACTTCTACAACACAGCCCACAGACAATGGGAAAAGAAGGTACCAAGAAGGGTGAGAGTAGGGAGGAAAGAAAGGTCGGTAGAAGAGATTCTAGAAATGAAAGCAACGACATACAGTTATTCTCCATGTCCCAAAAGATCTGGGGGGAGAGGGTGATAAGAGAACTAACGCTCAGACTGTGTAGCTACCAAGGGAAAGAAGGGTTGGATCCAACACAGTACTCATTATTCCTAAGAATTCTGCCCTTGCAAGCATTATTTGGGGAGAGGGGGTAGTTTGCTGGGGATGAGTTGGTTAAATCCCATTAATGTCCTCCAGACTTGTATACAATATGAATGACAGGAACTATAAAGTAGAGAAATGGAGTCAGGAAGCCAATTAAAAAGGGTGGATTACTCCAGCCACTACAGAGTCTTCTCCTCAGTCTCAGTGTGAAGGACAACTTTAGGCCCGGCAACTATATGGAGAATTACACTAGTGGGGTCTGAAATGGCTTTCATCAGTGGTTCTCAAAATTTCTGAGGCATTAGAACCCAACTAGAACTTAACTAGAGCTTAGTACAGTTCCTGGCATATAATAGGTGCGTAATAAATATTTAATCGCCGACCATAGCATAAAATAAAACAAGTAGAAGCCTTAAATGACTTATAATACAACTAATACAAATTAACATAAGGTTGATTTACAAAGAAAATGTTTTCACAAAAATTTTATTCAAAATTTAACATTTTAAATAACAGCTTGTTTATAGGACACTTTATCATTTACAAAGTGCTTTAAATAATTTCAATTGTTTCTGACAATAACCCTATCACATAGATATTACTGTCTTTTTTTTTGGGGGGGGGGAGAGGCAAGGAGGTGTGTCAAGCCTGTCTATTGTACTAGTCTATATATGGGGCATTATTACTTTTCACTGTGCTCAATTGAGAGGGAAATGACTTCTCTCCCACACCCTTTTTGATACCAGTGAATGTCACTGTCACTTCTGTTATTACTCTAGCAGTACTTTTCCTTCATTTCTGCCTACAGAAATGCTCTTAACCTCAAGTATTTTCACTTAAATATTACTTTACACATAAGGCCCCACAACTACAATCTAATACAAAAAAAAATCTTCTGTTAAAATATACCACCCATCCGTGACACAGAATAGGAACAAATGGGATTTTTTGTTAACATGATAATGACATCTACTAAAAACCAAAAGTGTAACAGAGAAATAAAAGTTTTCTCACTGAAAAAAAAAAGGTAAAACAAGAGTTTTCTCTTTTACTACTTCTATTTGACATGGTTTTAGAAGTTCTTGAAATTACAATAAGAATAAGAAATGAAAGGGATGAATGTTAGTAATGAAAAGATTAAAATACCTTTCTGTATAGTCAATTCAAATTCTCAGCAAAAATTGAGATGAGGTCAGTAAGGGAATCAAGATAGAAGCTAAACCTGCCAAAAACAACTATATTCTTTTATACTGGTAATAAAAATAATAAACCAATTTTTAAAAGAAAAAACAATTTACATTAATGGCAAAAAAAATCAAATATTTGGGTAGTAACTCACTAAGACAAACAGAATATTTTTGAAAAATTATAAAACATTATGGCCAAATTAAAATAAGTAAATATAGAAGGAATACTTCCTAACAGGGATCTGATGAATATAGTAAAAGGGTCAACATTCAGTTGTTAAACGATTTAGATTTACTATTAGATTTGATACAATACCAACTAAAGCACCACAGGGTCCTCTTATAGAATTAGATAAAAGGACAAATGCATATAAAAAACTATGTTGGCAAAAATAGGAAGAGATACTTTTTTTGGAAAAAGGATGATTGGTAAAGGTGAGACTTGCCCTGTCAGACCATAAAACACAATAAGACCCACAGCCATACTGTCTACTGAGATGTAAAGGAGTCATGATCTGTACTGATAATTGGGACATACTGATGAAAATACAGATCATTAAAGTAATGAAGTAGATTTAAACAATATGTACTTTATAAGTAAATACAGTGACTAACATTTGTAAACTTCCATTTCACTAGGAATTCTCAGGTGTTTCAGGATAAGCTCTTCTTGACAATTTATCACATGTATTTCATTTACATAACTTCTCCCCAATATGAAGTCTCTTATGTTTACAAAGTGATGATCTGCAACTGAATGTTTTCTGACATGTACTACACTCATAGGGTTTCTCTCCAGTATGGATTCTCTGATGTTGATTCAGAGATGAGCTGTGCCGGAAAGTTTTTCCACATTCACTGCATTCATGTGGTTTTTCTCCAGAATGGATTATCTGATGTCGAGTAAGTGATGAGTTTTCACTGAAGGCTTTTCCACACTGATTACATTCATAGGGTTTCTCTCCAGTGTGGATTCTTTGATGCTGAATAACATGTGTGCTCTGGCTAAAGGCTTTTCCACATTCACTACATTTATAGCGTTTCTCTCCAGTATGAATTCTCTGATGTTTAATAAAAGATGAGCTGTTATTGAAGGCTTTTCCACATTCATTGCACTCAAAAGGTTTCTCTCCAGTGTGGATCCTTTGATGGTGACTAAGGGATGAACTGTGACTAAAGGCTTTTCCACATGTTTTACACTCATAGGGCTTTTCTCCAGTATGAATTCTCTGATGCTGAGTAAGGATTGAGCTGTGACTGAAAGCCTTTCCACATTCAAGGCATTCATATGTTTTTTCTCCAGTATGGATGATCTGATGTCGAATAAGAGATGAACTGTCTCTAAAGGCTTTCCCACATTCGTTACAATCATAAGGTTTTTCTCCAGTGTGGTTTCTCCGATGCTGAACAAGGTGGGATCTCTGGCTGAAGGCTTTTCCACAATCATTACATTCGTAGGGTCTCTCTCCAGTGTGGATTCTCTGATGCTGAACAAGGTGTGTTCTCTGACTGAAGGCTTTGCTGCATTCACTACACTTATAGTGTTTCTCCCCAGTATGAATACTTTGATGTTGAGTAAGGAATGTATTCCGGCTAAAGGCTTTGCCACATTCATTACATTTATAGCGTTTCTCTTCAGCATAAATTTCCGGATGTTGAGTAATGTGTATGCTTTCACCACAGGTCTTCCCAGATTCATTATATTTGTAAACTTTTTCTTCATTATGTAAACCATGACACTGTATTAAATTGGAGCAATGACTAGATGCTTCCTCACATTCATTATTCTTGCAAGGTTTCTTCCCTGAGGAGACTGTATTACATTTAAGCACGTCTGAAAATTCACTGCAAAACATATCAGGTGTATCATGTTTATGGAGTCTCTTTTTTATAGAATCTGTTTTTGGAACAGGGATTGACCCAGGTTATAACTTCTCTCAAATTTACTGCATTCATGGTCTCTTAATACATCAGAAGTTTTTCTGTTGGGGACTGTTACTTCCTCAGAATGTCTCTCCCAGTTATGCTGCTGCTTCTCTTTCTTGATATTATATTTCCAATCTTGTCCTTGGGAATTCTTAAGACCAACCATTGTAAGTCTTTCCAAAACTGATTCTTCGACAGAAATGGCTGGATTAGAAATTGACCCTTTGCTTTCAGTCCCAGTGTTCCAATCTGAAAGAAATAAAAATTGTAAAAATCTCATGTCTCTTTGTACTGAGAAAAAGTACTTTTGTATGGTAAGTTCTATATTCTATCTTTTAAATCAAGGAGAATTCTCTTCAACATGGAAAGGGTAAAGAAAAAAAAACAAATAATAATGACTACTCCCCTACATTTGCAGAATTCTTAGTTTATACAGCACTTTTATATTCAGGATTTCATTTTAATCTCACAACAGGCCTGTGCAGTAGGGACTTTTACAAATAAGAAAAATAAGTGCCCAAATGCATAAAACAACTTGTTCATGGACATGTATTTAATAAATGGCTGAATCACAAATAGATCCTAGGTTTTCAGATCCTTAATCCAGCATTTTTTCTAACAAATCACCATTTCTCATTATTTTTCTCCTTTCTCCTTTCAACTTTTGTGGTAAAAAGTTGTGGCATCAGGAACAGGAGAAGAAAGGAGGAATTGAGATGCATAAAGAAAGGAAAATTGTGCAGGTAATTTGGAAGACTTTGGACTTGTGAAGAAGACCTTGGACTTGTGAAAAAGACCAGAGATTAAATATGAGAAGAAGAAATTTAGGAGATCTTGAGGAAAAGCTGAAGAACAACTTGACCTAAGGGGAGAGAACTCAATGTGAAAGAGGGAAAGGGAAACCAGAGAATACAGAAAATTTACTTTAATGCACTAAATGTAAATAGTCTGAATTTTGCTGAGAAAAAGAATAGATTTTAGGAATGGATTTAAAAACCCCTATTCTTCCTAGAGGAAATCCATTTAATGTGTGTGTGTGTGTATATATATATATATATATACACACACACACACACACACACACACACACACACACACACACAATATGGTTTTAAGCTTAAGTGGTAGGTTTAAAATATTTCATGCAAATGTAAGTTGTTGTTTTTTTTAAACAGGAATGGCAGTAATGACAACAGATGAAACAAATAATTCAAAGTAGAAAACTTAAAGAAAGACCAGGGCATTATTACATAATGCTAAAAAGAACTTTAAATAATAGCAATCTTTAACTTATGAGCACCAAACATAACTTCATAACTTCATAAAAGGAAGGTTAATAACACAATAAGCATAAATAGCCAAAATCTATTAATAGGAGGAAACTTCAATTTGCCATTATCAAAATATCACCAAAAAAAATTAACAAGCAATTACATCTCTGAATTACTTATTTAAAAAATTGGAAATAACATCTTAGCTATTAGAGAAAACTAATTGGAACAATTATGGAATGTACAAGGAACTCACATAAAAATGATTACATATTTGGCCATTGTTGTAGAATCTGTTGCAATATATTTTGAAGCGTGTGGCTTTGGTTTCTATGACCTTTCTAGATTTTTAGAATTTTGTAATTACAAGTATTAACATTTTTGTTTTTACTCTAGAGAATATTAATGAATTAATATTGCTTGCCATAAAACATATACATGTATACAAACATTTTATTAACATTTAAGGCCTTTTTATGATTTAAATATTGCAAGTCCCTCCCCTCCTTGGAATTTGAAACCGTTTTTGTATTTGTAATTCAAGGGAAAAGCCTAAAGCACCTCTACCAAAAGACCTTTGATTTCTCACCCAGGGCCATTCTCTCACCACTACCCAGACAATTTATGATACAGAACTCCCTGGTAGATTCACAGCCATATCAACTGGCTAGTACCTTGTGTTATTTTTTTCCTTTTACCTCTAAAATAAGTTGAGGTCTCCTCATCATTTCCCAATAATAACTGCATAGATAACTATCTGGACTCATATGGCCTTATAGCACCTGACATCATATGAATCAATCAACGAGAGCTTATTAAGTGCCTACTAGGTACTGGGGAACACCAATACAAAAAATGATACTATCCGTACTCTCAAAGAGCTTACTCCCTTTGATATCTAATTGTAAGGAAAGACAGAGACATTCTAATTGCATAGTCTCATTACCCTCAACCAATTACTGTGCTCAAAAATCCCAAAACATAGATCTGGGAGAGGAGACAGCAGCTAACACTTTGTTCCACATCAATCACCATCCAGAAACCCCTGAAAAGGAGGTGATTGATGTCTATTGATGTCATAGATGGGGCTTTTATTATACAAAAGAGAAAGCTGGGAAACCATCTTTAGAGGACACCATACCAGCTGTTATTTATGCTGATAGTGTTATCAAACTTTCTTTTCTGAAATTAACTACTGAGACAGTTTGGTGCTCATAATGTAAAGATTGCTATATACTGGTTATTTAAATCCTTTTAGCATTATGTAATAATGTCTTGTCTGTCTTTCTTGAGGTTTTCTGTTTGAATTAGAGAACTGTCCTAATCTTGAGAATGGCCATACCATTACCCCAATCTGGACACAGATTCAGAAGCCCAGAGTATCACACTCTCAACTCTGCTGGGTTTATAGTATACCCTTTAATACACAGTTTGTATTTGTTGTTCTTTCTTTTTTCTCTTCCCTAGTGGACATTTGGAGAGACCTCCATTTAAAGGAATTGAAATGAGCTGCAGAAACTGATCAAGTCTTCTCACTTTTTAAACTCCTTTAACTCAGAAAGGTCTTGTTCTAAATGCTGTGGTGAGTGGCCCTAATATACCATTAAAAAGTTTTAAGTTAAAAAAAATTATTCATACCATAATCCCAGACCAGAAGGCAATATAACTAGGAATAGATAATGATAACATGGGTAAAAAGTATGAACTAGATGACTTGTAATATCCTGCCTAACTCTAAATCTATGAAATGTCTAAAAGCATAGGAAAGGGCAAGGGACGGGATTCAGAGTAACGGTGGAAGGGTTAGAGAAAAGGAATATATTTCAGCTTGGAGAATGCATGAGAACAGGTGTGCTACTAAGGTTATATTTCAGTCCCCCAGGACTGAAAGACCTTGAGAAGACCTTCAGGTTCAAAATTTAACTGGACCATCTCACTTTTTGCTTGCAATGACTGCCCTCTGCACGGTTTCACTCATTTACTTATTCACCTGAACAAGTACCTTGTAAGACTTCTCTCTCCAGGATTCCTGGCTCTTCCCCTTGATCCATATGGGAAATTAATTCTGGTTTGGAAACTGGAAGCCCTGCTCATGTGAGAAAAAAATGCAAAAATGACTGTTTGGCATGAGGATAAAAAAACTATTTCTGCACACTTCTAGTTACAAACTCCTGAAGAGAGAACCCAAAAGGAGAGCCTGGGAGATGGTTCAAAGGGATCTTGAAGTAGGAAAGTTCTATAAAACATTCCAATAGAGTTTAGAGGAATGAGTCATAGAGTTCATGTGAATTCATCTGTCCCTTTCCCCATGAAGAAGATGGAAACTGCTTCTAATATTTGTAGGAATTTGCTCTAGGACTTACACTAGGAGAATATTCATCTTGGGAGATACCACCCTGGAGGATGATACCTTAGATGAAGCCTAAGAAACTGCATAATGAATGAATCTGCTAATTTGCAATTATGTTGAACAAAGCCTTTTCATCTGGGAACAAGGAGGAGAAATGGCCTTTCTCTTTGTTGTAAAAGACATCTTCTTGGTTGTAAAAGCCATTAGACATCCTCTCTGAGTGCTGCAAGTCCTTCTGACTTTTAACTAATCATCTAATATCTTATAAGAAAAGAAATGAAGACATTACAAGGAGAAGATCCTGAGTCAAAAGATGAAGCTATCCTTACCCAGAAAAACTAGGTTCCTGTAGTTCTCTAGCATCACAGCCTGGTATAGGTCCCTCTGATCTGAATCCAACTGCCCCCACTCTTCCTGGGTGAAATCCACAGCCACATCCTTGAATGTCACAGACTCCTGAAATGGCAAACCCATTCTGGTTCACACAAAACCCTCCTCCTTACATGGTTCTGGAGAAGGGAGAACAGGTGGGGAATTTGTCCAAGATATCTAAGTATTTCTGGGAGCTTTCAGTCTTCTGAGTGTTTCAAAAAAGTTCTTTTACAAATTTGCCATATGCCTGATTTTGTGGTACCCTACATAAATATTTTTTGGGGGAGCATTGGAGGGAGTTTGTTGACTGGTGTGTTCCTGGCTCTTATAATCAGATTCCATTAGTAGTAAGAATTTTAAAATCACTTTAAAATGTTTTACTACAAAGTTTCTGCTGAATTTTATTTAAAGTAAAGGACCCAACACTTCATAAAGTTGCAGAAATACTATCCTATATCCTCCCTGCCCAATCTAGCCCTTCCCTTCTTTAACTTACTTTTTGGTTTTTGTTACTAACTAGTTTTGGCAACTTAAAAAGATTAAGTATATTATTGATTGTTTAATAGTATTAGTCTCATTTCCCCAGTGACACTGTTAACCTCTTTGACCAAAAGATATTTCTCTTATGCTCCTCTGGCATCTTTTACAATACCCAACACATAAGAGGATAGGATGACTTAATGAGTAAACATGGGAAAAAGAAGAAAAGCACTAGACAAGTGGGGATTATTTCTTTTGAAGTCACAACATCATCAGAATGGCCCTATCTTGTGTTCTGGGTTGCAAGACGATGGGTGTAAATGAGTCCACACCCTAAAAACAAAAATGGTATTTCACAAAAAAGGAAATATTAACACACCTGGGATCTCAAAGTCAGTTCAGGAGCCATCATCTCTTCTTCTCTTTCATCCACCTGAAGAAGGCTAGAGTCCTGAGGATTAATAGCTGAGGAGTTAAAAGGAAATATGAGGAAAACTGATTTTACCTTGCAATTCCCAGGTAGCCCACGCTATACATCCCTATATACTACTTGGTTGACTGCCCAGCACATGCACATATACACACATGCATGCACATGCAAACTGTGTATACAAGCATGCACATATAGACACACACATTCCCTAGGAAGAGGAAAGTCAGGGAAAATGAAGTAACCCAGTCCCTTTGCAGGACAACAAAGGGGATCATGGACACTACTTCTCAAAGTCTTGACTTCATACATATAGTCACAAAAGATTCTGAGAAACAGCACTCTCTACATATGCCTCAGGTATTATACATTGAAATAATGGGATTTCTCCCAAATTTCCACATTATATGTATGTAACAGTCATCACTACATATGTCAGGTAAATTATTTTGCCTCTTTTCCACATGTACTTTGATTTTTTTTTTCCAAATCTTTCTTCCAAGAGGAGCTCTTCAAATACTTAAAGACAGTTTTCACGTCTTTGACCATAGTCTTTCTAATATGCCAAACTCCTTTCACCCATATTTACAGACATAGTCCTCAGTCCCTTTCATCATAATAATAACCTTGCTCTGGGTATACTATCATTTGTCAAAAGGCCTTGTTAAAATGTGGCAGCCAGAGGTCAACACAATTCTGCAGATGTAGACTGAGGAGAAGTGGCCAGGTGTGTTGATAGTTCCTTTTTTCTGAAATACCATCTTTGTTTTTAGGGTGTGGACTCATTTTCTCCCATCACCTTGCAACTCAGAAGACATAGGGCCATTATGATGCTGATGGACTTCAAAAGAAACAATTCCACTTGTTGAACGGTTTTCTCCTTTCTCCCACCTCAAACTCACATATTTATTCATTAAATTATCCCTACCTCTTAGGTACTAAGTACTGTAAGAGACATTAGAGGGGCATAAGAGAAATATTTTTTGGTTAAAGAGGTTAACAGTGTCACTGGGGAAATGAGACTAATACTATTAAACAATTAATAATATACTTTAGAATGCTTATCTCTCTAGTTCTTGGTACATTGGCCTAGCTCTTAGCCACATTGACACAATGTTGACTCATAACTGCACTTTCAATCCATGAAAATAACAAGTTTTTCATGAAATTAAGTACTATCTAGCTCCATGTTTACATATCTGGCATATTTGCAAGTGACTTTTTAAAACCTAAGTATACAATTTTACATTAATCTCTATAAAATTTAATCTTTTTAGGTTAAGCCCATAATGCCAATATGTAGACATCTTTTCAAATTCTGAACATGGGATCTGAATTACTTATTTCTTCCCCCAGCCTCATGTCATCTGTGAATTTGATAAGTATGCCATTTTGATTTTTAGAAGAGTCACAGATTAGCATTTTAAATAGCATAGCAACAAGAACAACAGAGTCTACTGGAGAACTCTCACCAAGCTACCACTGACCCATCAATCGTGACATTTTTAGGTCTTATCATTCAAACAGTTCCAAATGTACCTACCTATGCCATCATCAAGCCCACATATTACCATATTTTCTAAAAGATTATATGAAAGATTATGTCAAATACTTTGTTGAATTCTAGCAATATGTCTAATAGCATTATCCTCATCTACCAGTCTAGTAATTCTGTTAAAAAAGGAAATGAGATTAGTCTAAAAAGACCTAGCCTTGATTAAAAATATACTAGAGGCTGGCAAGTTTGACTTCAGTTCCTGGCCCGCTAGAATGGATTATTGAAAGGATATATATACATATATCCTACATATATATATATGTATATATATCCTTTCAATAATCCATTCTAGCGGGCCAGGAACTGAAGTCAAACTTGCCAGCCTCTAGTTTGCAGGCCCCTACCTTCTCTTTTTAGTGAATCATCACATCAGCCTCTTTTCAGTCCTCTGGCACCTCTCCAGTTCTCCATGGCTTTTCAAAGACTACTAAAAGGAGCTAAGCAATCACACCAGCCAGTTCTTTTAAGTGTGCAAAGATGGAGACATTTAGCTCAAATGAACTGAACTCACTGAGAGTATCTAGGTGTTCTCCTATCATCTCTTCTATTAATCTTCAGTTTTAACTTGTTGGCCATTTTTGTTCTATTCCTCTCAGTCTGAAGATCATTCTCCTTGATAGGGAAAATTAGCAAAATAAGAATTACATAGTTTCATCTTGTCCCAGCATCCATTATTGTTACCCCATCTAACCTGAACACTGGTTCCATCATTTCTTTGATATTTCCCTTGCCCCAATATTTTAAAAAGCCCTTTCAGCTGTCCTTAGAATTCATTGAAAGTCCCAGAACAAACTGATCTTTAAGCATTGCTGATACTATTCTTTCAGGACAGTGACCTTTTGTTTCCATCCTCCATAACCTGCACTTCCTTCCATCTCTTGATGTGTATTTTTAACACTCTAAGTTGGTTTATGGGTTCTCTATGCTTCTATAATCTTTGTAGACAGTTTCCCTTTTTCTTCTTCATCAGAATAACTTACCTTAGTAATATAACAATTTCATCCTTGTAAGCTATCTACCCTGCTTGGGCCCATTTCCCTGTAGACCTTTAGGCCCACCCCCTAGAATCCTATCTATCCTTTCTGAACTCCTTGAAAGCTAACTTTCCAAAATCTTCGATATTATCAGAAGCTTAGCTTTCTTCTTGTTCTATTACAAATTGTAATATGGAGTATTCACTTCCTCCTAAAGTCCCTATCATTTCTATTTCACTGAGCTTGATGTCTTTCCCTGGCTAAACTCTAGAATATATTATTAAAAGTGATGGTAAGCTATATTCCATTGGTCTAAAAGGAAAGCTGTAGAAATTGCAGCAAGGTAGATTTAGGTTTGATTTAAAAGAAAAACTTCCTAATGATTAGAGACCTGTCCAAGGTAGAATGATCTACCCCAGGAGGCACTCTCACTAGAAGTCTTCAAGTGAAAGGTTTTTATAGTAGGGGGAAGGAATAAGCATTTAAGTACCTACTATGTATAAAGCACTGCACTAAGAGCTCTGCAAATATTATATCATATGATCCTCACAGCAACCATGTGAAATAGATACTATTTATTAGTCTCATTTTACAGTTGGGGAAACTGAGATAGAAAGAGGTTAAGTGACTTGCCCAGAGTCATACAGCATCTAGATTCCTGTTCAGCTAACATGTTAGATGACTTCTGAGGTCCCTCTGAACTATGAAAAGACAGGGGTCTTATCTTATTTGACATGTAAGAAAATAATTTGTAACTCTCATAGAGAAAGCAGTATGCACAGATATCTAGATGATCTTAACTTCACTATTATAACTATATATTATATATAGTTATTATAACTCCATATTATAACTTTCACTATGCTTTAGTGAAGAGAGAAGATGGTAGGAGTGAGAAGACTAGATTTCTAGTCATAATTTGGCTGAAAATAAACTATAGAAAAGATTACAGATAATAGAGATTAAGAGTTAAAAGTGATGCCAGAGGCAATCTGGTCCAAACCCCTCACTTTGCAGATAAGCAAACTGGGGCCTAAAGGTAAAGTTACTCACTCAATACCACACCTCTAAAAAGGGTCAAACACAGGATTCAGGCCTAAATTTCTGATCATAACTCAGTATGTTTCCCACCACACCACACCTCTTACCTTAAATATGTAAGGCATTATTCCCAAGTCTAAATTTCAGTCACTTCTTTATGGAGAGATGGCATGAATCCACTATAGAAATAGAATAATTTGATAGTTTGGCTATTCCTTCCCCTTCCCCTACTTTATCCCACCTTATACCCTCCAAAAAGAAAGCAAAATCAAAAACCCAGCACTCAAAAAAGCAGTCTCAATTGATAATGGTCTTACCTATATGGAAAAATACCACATACTACTAGCCACAGTGGACCTTGAAGGAGACAATGGACTTGATAACATGATCCATTGATCCCATATTGGAATCCCAAATTCCCAGGAAACTTTTTCCCTGTTTATGCCATAGATTCCTAATTTCAAGTGCCTATTTCATCCTTTTACCTCCATTCCCATCACCTTTCCGTAACTCTCACCTCTCTCCTCAGCTGCTTGGATCAAGTCCTCCACCAGGCTCACTACCTCTTTGCTATTTGTGGGATGCTGAGACTTTACCCAAATCCTGATATCTCCAGGAAGGATGGTCAGAAATTGTTCTAGCACCAACAACTCCAGGATTTCTTCCTTTGTGTGAATCTCTGGCCTTAGCCACTGAAAGCAGAGTTCTCTGAGTTGGATGAGGGCTTCTTGAGGTCCAGCCAATTCTGGGTATTGATACCACCTAAAACTCTGTCGAGCAGCTTCAGGGTCTGATTTATCTCTTCGTAACATAGTTTCTTCCCTCCAAGGTACATTAATTTTCAGGATCCAGTCTTGTTCATGTGGAGTCAGAAGTTGGGGGCTTAACAGAGTAGCCATCACCTTGTTTAGTGGTTTTTATAGAAGACTCTCCCCATGAATTTCAAATCTGAATTTCCAGCAGGGAGCCTATCCCCTTCACTTGGGTTAAGCAGTTTCAAGCTCTTCTAAGGGGCACTGTGGGCAGAGATTGATCATTGTGAGCAGGAGGAACCAAATAGTCTCAATGATACAGCCAGACTCTAAAGCCATGCAAAAATTGTGGAGAGGTACTGGACCATAAATGGTCCACAAGAGTAACATATAAACCTATAGTTGCCTAAGACACAACACTTTAGACTTTGAGCTCCTTGAAAGCAGGCCTGGGTGTTGGGTTTTTACCCCCCCTTTTCTTTGTATCCCAGAGCCCAGCACAGGGCCTGCCACACAGAAGCTTTGTTAAAATTTCAGTGTAAGTATTTATGCCTCTGGAGTCTGCAAATGCTACAAAATCAGGATCTAATATGTTGTTTGGTTGATTGGACGTAGAAAATGGATGAAGAAAATATTAACAACGCAGATTAAACTTAGAAACCAATGCACAAACAAAGGTAAAGAGAAACACAGAGACTTTTTCAGTTCAATCAGCCAATCACGCTTACTGAAGCCAGGCAGCATGCGAAGTGCAGGGCATACAAAGAAACTAAACACAGTCCCTGCCCTAGGTCCTGAATCGGGAGCCCAGCTCTATTTCTATAACATCTGAAACCTTCCTCGAAAGCCCCTCCCCACAACGTTGCCGCCCTCTGAGGGTGCCTATTAGCAGTGCAGACCCTGGGGGGAACAGCAGGGAGCGGGGGAAAGGGATGGGGAATGTAGAAGTTGAGTCCACCCCACAATAAACTAACTCAACCGGAACTTTCGGCCCCCCCCCTCCGGGGCTGCCACACCCCCTCCTGGCCCGCCCACCAAGTTCTGGGCTAGCGGTCTGTGAGCTCCCTGGACAAAGCCCACAAGCCCAGCTCCCCGCGGCAGGTGTACTCCAGCTTCTCGCCGATCTCGACCTGGCTGGAGTGATGGGGCCCGCAGGGAGCTACGGTCAGACGCCCCGAGCTGTACTTACCCGATGCGTGGGTATAGGACCCAAGCCTGACTGCAAACGAGTGGGTCCAGGAGCGAAGCATTCTTGGCAACCCACGAAACTGCGCGCGCATCCTCCTCGTGCTCGGCTCCCTGGGGAGAGGGGTGTGGTTAGGCACAGGAAGCCTTCGAACTACAACTCCCAGAATCACCCTTTCCATATTTTCTGGGTCCTTGTTTTCCAAAGTCTCTAACCGATTTCACAGCAATGTCTTCTCCCCGCCATTACGACCCAAGGGGTGACTTCAGGGCTCTGCTTATGTTAGCTTTGAGCTCCGAACTCGGTTATTTCGCTTTTCTCAGTGGAGTGGGGGACGGGGCTGGAGGGGAGAGGCAAGGAGAGCGATACTAAGTAACACTGTAGGAACTCTCCGCCAATCAGGGGACGCTTTGTGCCCCGCCTTCTTTCCCCGCCCCGCCCTCTTCAAAGAGTCCAATCCCAACTTCCGGCGGACTTCTTCTGCCCTTGTCTGGCCTGGGACCAGAAACGAGGATGGAGAGAACAGTTTCCTTTGGCAACCAACTGCTGCCTTCACCTTCCTGGCAGTAGTTTTTTCCTGACGTGACGGAGGAGCTAGTCAGCTAGATGGAGGAGTGAACAGAGTGCAGGACTTGGAGTCAAGAAGACTTGAGCTCACATTCGAGCTCAGACACTAAAAAAGGCTCTGTAACCCAGAGCAAGTCACTTAACCTCTCTCTGTCTCAGTTTCCTCATCTGGAACATGGGACTAAAAATAGCACCTGCCTCCCAGGGTTGTTGTGAGGATCAAATGAGATAATATTTGTAAAACGCTTGGCATGCTTTAACGTGGTGCGTAAGTGCTTGCTATTGTTTTTATTACAAGAATGTTGAGCTTTCTGACCCTTCTGAAAAAACAAACCCTCAAGTGATTACAAGCCCCTGGACAATAAAGGGAAGCAGAAGCAGCAAAGCCATACTGATAATAGTTGTTAATAGGCATTTATTAATGTCAGACGCTGGGCTCGGAAAATAAAGAAGGAAAGGTAAAAAGAGACTGCCTTCAAAGAATTTATATTCTAATGGAGACAAATGTAATGAATATAACTAGGTTTATACAAGTTATATACAGAACATATGAGAGGTAATCTCAGAGGGAAAGGCCCCCTGCAGGAGGTGAGATTTGAGTCTTGAATGAAGCCAAAGCAAATAAGAGGATCTGTGAGGAGGGCATGGGGCACAGCTGGTATAAATGAATAGGGAAGGGAGATGGAGCATTGTATTGGAGGAATGATAGGCCAGTGTTGCTGGATAATAGCAAGGAGTCAAGTATAAGACATTTGGAAAGGTAGGACATAATAAAAAAAGCTTGTGAACAGTGAGGAGTCCAGGAATAAATAACTAGAAGGTGGAACCATTGAAAGAAGGAACCACAATAGTAAGCATCTGCAGGAGGAGTGCCTGAATGAAACCTGGACTGAATATGTAACTAGAGGAGCCCAGAGAGTAGAAAGGCTGACAGCAAACTGATGAGGCAGAAAGCTGGACTACAGGAGAATCCAGTGTAAGGAACAATTAATTGCTAAGGAGTAGGACTGGCCTAGGAGCAATAAGTCACAAAGTCCCTAAGTGATAGAGGAGTTAACCTGAGCCTTTTCCCTCTGTGGGAACCCCTAAGACAGGTGTTGGAGAGGGTTGGCCAACTGGGTAGAGGCAAATGAGCTACATTAGTGAGATGTGTGAACTGTTGTGTCACCTCCATAAATTCCCTTTTGGAAGTACCAGGGAATTACACCTGAATGAGGACAGATGAGCTCAGATTTTTTTGAGGACCCAATGTATATCCAGGTTTTTTCTTGTTACAGTAAAGGGTTACATTAGTCTTAAGAAAAGTTTTCTAACTCCACAGTCTTCCCTCAAAAATAACTTTTTTTAAATTTTTTATATCTATATTCTTAGTTAAATATTTTCCAAGTACACGTAAAATTTTTTAACATTCAGTTTTTAAAAATCTGAGTTACGAATTCTCTCTCTTCTTCCCATCCCTCTCACATCCCTTACAAAGGCAAGGAATATGATATCAATTAGATATCACGTAGTTTTTTACTAGAATCCTCATCCCCTTTTGATAAGTATATAGAACTTACAAAACAGTCTTACAAATCCAGAAAAGGATTTTTCCTAGAAAGAATTACTTTCTACTCAATTCAATGACTGGATGTGTTAGGACTTTTACTTTCTAAAAGAGTTATAGCTGGGAAAACAGAGAAAGAAAAAAGCCACAAGAAAAGGCATGGCAAAATCCACTCATCCTCTTATGAGGAAAACAATACCCCGGCAGAATATGATAGCTGAATCCAGAAGCTACAAGCAGGGAAAATTTCTACAGTACCCAGCAGTTACCATAGGACCACAGGAGCAATGATGAATAGCAGTTATATAATACGAATAGGGAGCATTAAACCACAGACATTACATAGACTGTGCTGGGCAGAGAGTACACACCTGGAAAAGACTGACTACATGCCATATAAGATCATCAGGGACCAAGTTGGGCAGGATCATTGAGGAGACATCATCGGAACACATTGGTATCCTTACATCAGAGGCATGGGTTGCTCCTCCATTCATATTTTCTAATCACATGTGTGTCCCTTTACATGAGTAACTTGAGAAAATGTGTCACCTATTTGTGTATTCCTACATAAAAGTTCCCTCACTACATGAGTTCACTGTGTCTCCAACTTGTCCCCTTTATGATCAAATTAGATAAATACTAGCTATCATCATCACAATAATCATTATGATGATGATTACTATGTATCCACTGTTCCTACAGATGGAAGAATTTACTCCAGGTTTATGGGGAAATGTTTTATTTCTATTTTCATTACTATTCTATTTCATTAAATACTTCTGTTTAAAATTGTGTCCTATGCTCAACAAGTAAACATATCAGTGGAGGATTGTGAGCTACAGATTTGAGTGGCTATAAACCCAACGAGTACCTTAAACCTGGGTAGTTTTGTCTTGGGAATACACTTTGCAAGCGAGGGTTGAACTTTAAGTTCTACATATGTATGAAGTAAGCATCTGCAGGAGGAGTGCCTGAATGAAACCTGAGCTGAATATATAACTAAAGGAGCCCAGAGAGTAGAAAGGCTGACAGCAAACCGGTGAGGCAGAAAGTTGGACTACAAGAGAGTCCAGTGGAAGAAACAACTGCTGAGAAATAGGACTGGCCTAGGAGCAATAAGTCACAAAAGTCCCTAAGTGATGGAGGAGTGAACCTGAGCCCCTTTGCTTTACCTCGTTCTCAATTTTTTGGCATCAATAATTTGTTTAAATAGTTCAAGTTGGAGTTCTTTTAATGGGGAGGTACACTGTAAACAATGAATCCACGGTAAAAGAAGACATCAGATAAATTTATTAGTGAAAAAGAAGATGGACTGGCAATCTGGTGCAATTAGACAATACCTGATGGACGGGACCATATATTTCATTGTTATCCTTGTGATAGAAAAAAAAAGCAAGGAACATCCCCAGCATTTTGGGTTCACTGCTTATGGCAGATTTATGAAACTACCTGCAGTAACTCTGTTATGAGTGCTGTTTTGGAGATGAGAGACTCAAACAGACACTGTCCACAACCCTGGTGCATAGCCTCATCACCTGATACCTGGACTATTGTATAATAGACTTCTGGTTGTTCTCCCTGCCTCCAGACTCTCCACTCCAGCTTCTACTCAGCTGCCAAAGCAATCTTCCTAAAGTGCAGGTCTGGCCATCTTATATCATTTTCCCCTATCTGATAAGTTCTGGTGGCTCCCTATCACCACTTGAAACAAATACAAATCCTCCATTTTGCTTTTAAAAGCCCTTCCAAACCTGGCCCCTTCCTACATTTCCAGGACTCTTATATCATATTCCCCTTACATACTCTAGGGTCCTTTGACACTTGGCCCCTTGTTGTTCCTTGATTCCATTTCCTGATTGCATTTTCACTGTCTTTTCCCCATGCCTGGAATGCTCTTCCTCCTCATATGAGCCTCCTGGCTTCCCAGGCTTCCTTCAAGTCTCACCTAACTTCTTTGCACTTCTTGCAAAAATACTTTCCCGATATTCCATCATGGTTTTGCTTTCCCTCTGAGATATATCTTGTCCATTCATCATTGTTTGCATGCTGTCTCCCTGATTAGGTAGTTAATTCCTTGAGAGCAAAGATTGTTTTTCTTTCTCCTTTCTTTGTAACTCCAGTACTTAACACAATGCCCCTAATATAATAAATGGGGCCACTGCCAGTCATCTTAACTTTTATCTTTTTTTTAAATATTTTTAATTGGTTTTTTGTTTATTTATTTATTTTTAAAATTTATTTATTTGTAGTTTTCAACATTCACTTCTACAAGATTTTGAGTTCCAAATTTTCACCCCAACTTCCCCTGCCCCCCACCCCAAGATGGCATGCATTCTGAATATCCCTTTCCCTAGTCTGCCCTCCCTTTTATCTCTCCCCTTCTTCTCTTATCCCCTTCCCCTTCTATTTTCCTGTAGGGCAGGATAGATTTCTGTACCCTATTTCTTGTATTTCTTATTTCCCAGTTGCATGTGAAAACATTTTCTTTAAACATGTGTTTTTAAAACTTTAGGTTTCAAATTTTCTCCCTTCCTCCCTCCCCACCCACCCTCACTGAAAAGGCAAGCAACTCAATATAGGTTATACACATGCAGTTACGCAAAACACGTCCATAGTAGTCATGTTGTGAAAAACTAACTCTATTTTCCTTCATCCTATCCCACCCTCCCCATTTATTCTATTCTTTCTTTTGACCCTGTCCTTCCTCAGAAGTGTTTACTTCTGATTACCCCCTTTCCCAATCTGCCCTCTTCTCTATCATCCCCCTGCTCTCTTGTTCCCTTCTCCCCTTAATTTCCTGTAAGGTAAGACAGATTTCCTTACCTAATTGAGTGTGTATGCTATTCCCTCCTTAAGCCAAATCCTATGAGAATAGGATTCACTCATTCCCTCTTACCTTCCCCTGTTTCCCCTCTATTGTAAGAGCCTTTTCTTTCCTGTTTTTTTTTTTTGCGAGATAATTTACCCTGTTCTACCTCTCCCTTTCTTCTTCTCCCAGTATAATCCTCTCTCATCCCTTAATTTTATTCTCCAGATATGATGCCTTCATCTTCAACTCATCCTGTGCCCTCTATCATCTATCTATCTATCTATCTATCTATCTATCTATCTATCTATCTATCTATCTATCTATCTATCTGTCTATCTGTCTATCTGTCTATCTGTCTATCTGTCTATCTGTCTGTCTGTCTGCCTATCTATCTA